CGTATCGCGACCAATGGAAAACTTTGTCTTTCAATCACGGTTTTTTCTTCAAACATTTTCTTTTAATAGTAGGTACCGTTTTTAAATATCTCGGTACAGTTCGTATACTAGCTGAAACATTAGCTTTTTCGGCAATTTGCTTTGCACTATAAGTAGAATTTGATACGATACGCAAAACCGACCTTTTATCTCTTGGCGACAAGGCATCTTTAGTTCTACCTTTGTATAATTTGCCGCAATTTTCACTATTTTTCAAGTATGAACGTACAACAAATTCAGTTCTGTTTAATCTCCTCGCAATCTGTTGGAATACCCTTCTTCTTTTAACACCTGAACTCTTCCAATTTCTGTACTGCTTAACTGTTTTACACGACCCATTATTGCGTGAATGCAAAATAACTTTGTATTCGATACGTCGGTTGCTAAGAAGTAAACAATTTAAGGCAGAAGAAACTTGAAAAACAGTACATGTTCAAATGTCGTAAAAACATTCTTACTTTTTCTTAAAAATACGAATATTTTTATAATGAATAAATAACTTCTCATAGCACAGGTATACATTTTCATTAAATAAGACCTATGATATTAGAAAAATAAAATTTATTAATTTGAACTTCATTAAACAAAAATACAGTGAAAATATCACTGCGTTTAATCAAGTGTCACGGACTGTATATACGAGGTCTGTTCAAAAAATAACGGAACTATTTTTTATTTATTTGATCATCTGTCGGGGCCTCCTTAATCTCCGCGTCAGGCAGCAGAATGCTGCCCTTCGATGGAGGAGGGGCGGGGACCGTGGGGTCTAGCACCTCCTGGACAATAATTTCGTTCTGCAGCTGACGCTCACAGTCCGCTGCAAGCATTTTTGCTGCCACCAGGTCGATATACTCGTCTGTTTTTGGTGGGCAGCCCTTCTTTTTCTTGCTCGGGTGGACAGGCCTGCTGATGTCGGCACAGTCGCTTTCCCCCGAGTCCTCCATGCGAGGGCGTATGAACGATACGGGCACGACCGACTCCGACCTCACACAGGACGAAGATCGGTTCATGCCCGTGCCGGACGCACTCCGCACACGTAAAGCGCGTTCTTTCTCGCGCTGGCTTTTGTTGAGGAGGTTCCACCTCTCCCTGATGGAGAGGCGGGCTTCCTTCTCCGCGCGCAGGATCTTGATGTTGATGATCCTCGGCACCTCTCTTGTGATGTCTGCAAGGCAGACGGGGCCCGACAACGCCGCG